AACCCCCCCCCCCCCAAACAAAAAAACCAACCCCCCCCCCCAGTGTAATCTTCACATCAGGCATAGCCTGCATCATTACCTCCAAACAACAGAATACAGAATAATTTCAGTACAGATAAATTAAAAACTTGTATGTAAATATTTTATTCTCTCATATTTTGCAAATCATATAGCAGTGTTTGGTAATAAAAAATAATACAGAATTATTATTTTTCTTCCAGTCCACACTCATATATTACCAGATTTTCCGCATTACAAACTGTCTCTTACAGTCTAAAGATAACATTCACTTTAGGTATATTCTGTACTTTTGGCTTATTTAATATTAGTCTTCTGAACTATTTACAAATATATTACAACCTTTAAACCTCAAAGCAAAGGAGTATTTCAATAATCAATCTGACATAAGGATCAGTAGCTCCTACATAACTTCAGTGTTTAAGAGAAACTATACACGCAGTGCGGTAGGTCTGAATAATTTATATCTTTAAAAAAAAAAAAAGAAAAGCATTGAAAGTTTCTGAATATAAAACTTTCGCATTGCAGTGGTACCTACTGACCCGCCTCAACCGGAGGACAGGAATGTGAGGTGATGTCACTGTGCTTGTAGAGAGCCTCGTCTAAGTCCAGTGCCTTGTTGCTCAGCCTGACGGTCATGCAGCCGTGGTAGGACGCGGTGACCAGAGTGGAAGTCACAGGAACGTCTGTGTGAAAGGGGAGACAAACATCTCTGATGGCTGCTTTTGAATACATACCAGTCCTACCCATGCTCAGACGAGCATCACTTCAATGAATTCAAACTCTCCTCTTCTCCACTCCGTGATTTCTACCTACCCCCCGGCCCTCTCACCAGAAGGCAAGAGCACAATCCCGGACGTGGGGAAAACGCCATCTGCTCTTGTGCACAGAAGCCCTTCTCCCAGGCTGAACCCTTCCTCAGCTGCTCTGTGTCTCCGCAAGGCCTCCAGTCCTGATGACCCTATGTGCTGCACAGCAGCAAGGCTTCACTCCAGTTGCACACTGTGTTCACGCTGCTTTCCGTCTCGACGTCCCCCCCCTCCATCTCTGAACCCTCCACTTCATCTTTAGTGGAGTTGTTACACCTTCCTCTAATG